CCATGCACCCCCCCCCCCAACACAGCTGTAGCAATCTTTGACAGCTTGCCTGCAAAAACTAGTTACTCATAGTTTTTCGGTATTAAAAAATACATGCTTTTCAAGCCACGCCACTGCTTTAATTTACAAGAAAATGTAACCAAAAATTTCATAATTTCTATAGCGTTGTTTATAGCCACTAATGATGGTTAAAAACTTCATTTTTTGGCCTTTTCTACTTGCTCTGAAATGTATTTGTATTTAAAAAAATAATAAGTTGAACTTGAAAATGTAAAAAAAATAATGTATTGACAATCAAATGAAACTTCAAAGAATAAAACTTACACTATTTCATCATAAATTAAAATAATATTTTTAGTTTTTAGTTCTGTTTAGTGTTTGCTACGGTCACGGACACTGTTGCACTCGCTTCGTACTGAGTTGAGTTTGAACTTTGAATTACGAAGAGTATAGGTATACTGTGTGTACACAAATATATGTATTCCTTGACCCTGAACAGCTTGAGTCACACAACTATGGATTTAACCATGAATCATGATATAAAAGTTGAAATATAATAATAATTTTTATACAGAAAATTGTTTTAATAATAATTAAAATTTTTTTTTTTCAAATATAGTAGACCAGATTTGTTTAAACTGCGCCAAAAAACAAAAATTATAGTAAATAGTGTCAGGGTCGAGGGGGGGGCGAGGGGGGGGCGAAAAATGCTGAGGGGGGGGCGAAACGGTTCTCGCCCCCCCCCTAGTTGCGCCACTGCTCAGAATAAAGGTTTTCTGTATACCCAGGTTAGTGGCGATTTATTAATTCATTAACAATTTTATTTTCCATGAAAAGAGATTGCATAGCGGAATTTTAAGTTACTCTCAATCAAAAGATTCTTGATTCAAAATATGAATTAGATTTCTATGTTTGAAACTTTTACTATGATTTCTCTACAAAAGTGACAGATTAAAAGGGTATCATTGTGAATTAGGCATTGTCATGTTTTCAAGGACGGTCACTTGAAATTATGCTTAGTTTTTTTAAGCTATATCTATCTGAATTTTGTTAATTTTAGACAGGTCTGATAATAAGGAGAGGAGGTGGAGGAGGTAGAAGTGAAGATCCCTTGCCTTCAGGTTTCAGTTTTATTGCAGCTGACTCAACTCTTGGTTGCGACCAACAGGATGCTGGGGATGCTTCAACAGCTGGAGTTGCGTCAGCAGTTGGAGATGGAGGTTGCCGGGTAAACTTTACAAATTACACCTGAAATCAAGCAATACGCCTTTTTTCTGATGTTAAATGTCTTAACTAATATATGCTGCTGTTGGGAAGACCAAATTGTTTCAATGGATCTAATAAAGGTTCTTAGTATTTCACTTTCAGGAATATTCCCACTGCCCAGGCTTACTGCTGAGTGAAAATTGTTTTTATTTTTGGTTAACCACGTCCAATTTTTATATTTTCTTTCTGATGCCTACAATTTATTGTGGATTTTAGTGCTTTAAATCAACAATTTTCTGTAGAGAATAAGACTTCCTATGCATGCACATTTGGCTGAAAATATGGTAGCTGCGATTGAAACCGATAGTGAAATTACAGACTACGATTGGAAGGTGAGTGATATTTCAATAGTTTTTGCGAAAAATTTGAAAAAAATTATATCAAACTAACTTTTTTTTTAGTTGATTTTCCTAATGCCCCTGGAACAGTGGCTTTGCGTGGTAAGTTTATTTTTTATTTCATCTTGTTCGTCTAAATCAACTTTGTTTACTATTGCAGGCATGTCAAGCTGATGAAGAAGAGCTCATAAAGGAATTTACTAAAGATGTCAACGCGGCAATCAATAAGATACTTTCTATGTCTAAAGTGATTTTAGTCGCGATAAATACACCAGGTTTGTCTTGGATTTTAAAGCTGACTTCTGTTCTAAAATAATATAATGTTTTTTTAGATATTGGAGATATTTTTGATTTAGAGGACTGTAATTTTAGAGGTCCTCCTATATTTCATCCTTGCCCCTGTCTCGCTGGATTATATGGTAAGTTTATATTTTTGATTTTATTATAAAAATCATGGTTAAAGTGACTGCAAGCATAATTTCAAGTGACCTTCCATGCTAGGATGTTTATGCCCAATTACTATATTTGTGTTTCAAGTATTTTATATTAATAAGTGGTTTTAAAAATCAGCAGTTGAATTTTAATTTTGCCACTTTTAGGAAGTTACTGTAAATAATATGTAACCGCTTACGCAAACAGTGTTTAACAAGTAAAAGCTTTTAATTAGATTAATATGGATATTTTAGAAAATGGAAACGAAGACCAAATAGATAACGCTCAAGATTCTGTAGAAGTTGCTCAAAAAATTTTCAAATCTATTGTTGACGGGTAAGATTGATTTTGACTTAAAGGGAGTGACCGGCAATTTATGGTAGTTGAACTGTGATTGCATTATTTATAGAGGAATTTTTCAAGATTTATTTGAGACGTTTTCACGGTGCATTTTTATTCAGCAAGAGCGGAAATGCAATCCTTAAAATCCTCAAACTGTCCATTTTGGAGGGAGGATTTGAGAGGTGTTATTTAAATTATTCAATGACGACCACAAAAACTGTAGAATAAAATTCTACAGTAAACTAATTAGTTGTTTAAGAACAGGTTGAGAAAATAAAATTCAACTTTTTTTCATCGAAAGTAAGTAATCTTGTTCAGTTTTAGTTTCTGAAACCCACTTTTTGTAAATTTCATGGAAGTATTATTAAAAAGACAAAATTTGGTGAATTTGTAGAAATCCGCGAACAAATTCGAAAAGAATAAGAAATTCAATATAATACTGAAAAAGAAATAATTAATGTAACATTGATTTCTTGACAAATTTCTATTGAGAAATATGTTCCTAAACATATTAGTTTACTGAAGAATGTTTTATATATTTTTCGTCGCTTTTATTTAATAATTAAAAAATAGATTCTCAAAACGTGACCACGTTAAATACGTCTCAAATGAATCTTCAAAAATTTCTCCGCAATACTACATTCTCAGTTCAACTACCATACATTGCCGGTCACTCCCTTTGAAGGAACTGTTTCAAGCGATCTTCCATGCAAAGATGGTAATGCTCAATTTACAATTTAGTACCCTTTAAAGCTTTTTTAAATCCAAGTATTTATTAGTTTTCTTTAAGCGCATTTCTTGCTTATAGAAAACAATGGAGAAATGTACGTAAATAAACACTTATTAATCAGACATAGCTATCCTTAAAATTACCTGCCTTAAGGTAGTATTTAACTTGATTTATTTTAGTTTTAAGAATGACGTGAAAGACCGTAAAGATGCAGCTGTAATCTACTTGGACCCGTTTAAGAGTGCCAAAACCATGTTTCCTGATAAAGACTCCTTAGGTAACATTATCTTGAAGTTATATTTTTTTAAGTAATGAGGGGGGGGGGTCAGTTAACTTCAATAAAATTTCACTAACTTCAATTTTTTTTAGCTGATAACTGTTTTAACTGGGGGCCTGATTTGACTGCTACAGGTAAAACATACTTCTTTTTTGTCTAGGAAATTAAAAAAAAACTTTTTTAGCTGCTGCATTGACATGGAATGCGTTATTTGGAGGGAATAAGGCGCCTCACAAAGAAATAGGTTAGTTTTTTTATTTATGATATTTTGAAAATATTGGGTTTACTACACATAATAATCCTTGAAACCGTTTTTTAAAATCCGTCAATTTCAAAAAGATGTTGTGCTTAGTTTCCGTTTTCGATTAAATGAAACTAAAGTTGAAATTATTGTTTTATTTATATTTTTTTCTTAAATGCTTAATAACTGTTTATTTAGATGCTGGATATCTTGATACCAACAATATCATCAGTGGAACGAATACTCAAGATTTTAAGCTGGTGTGTCCCAGTAACCCTATTGTGAAGGGTCATTATTGAACTTGAATCTTGTCAACCTTCTATGAAGAATTATTACACAAACCATAATTTTTGTATTTTTACACATGTTTTCTTCTGCGAAGATTTTATTTTACTTATGAATAAATTTTAAAATATATCCTATTGTTTTCTTTACTTGGTCCTAATTTAACTATTTGATTTTAAACTTTAGAATCAAAATTTTAGATTTTAGTTTAAAACTTCTTAATCAGAGAGAGTTCTTTAGATTTATTGATTCTATATTTCGCGTGTATTTATAATTTTAGCCAAGACCTCCTTAATTTTAGAGTGAAAGTTTTAGATTATCTTAGTGTAAATATTAAGATTATTTTGGCTTTGATAATTTTCATAAAAATGAAGATCTTTTTATTTTTTATAATTTATGAAGAAATGGAAATAAAATGAAAATTCAAAATTTGGAAAAATTTGGGAAAGTGATATTTGATTTATACTTAAAAAAGTATAATGCCTAGAAAGAAAAAATGACAAAATTGAATTATAGGGCTTTTCAATGATACTTTGATTGTGAATTTGCACTAATACCCCTATTGCATTTTTCGGAACTATTGTATATATATTGTATATAAATAATTCAAATTTAAAATTAGACCTTATTGAATTCTGCTGTAACATCATAAGATTTGGTTATGATTACCTTCAGTGTAATCTTTTTCCTGCTTTCTTTAATAAATCATTTTCTTTTATAGAACTTTTTGTAATTCTGAAAAAGACCTTTTTGGTTTGTGTGTATACTATCTGGGTTTGTGCGTTTACTATCTGGGTTTGTGCGTTTACTATCTGGGTTTGTGTAATCCTGTTTAAACTGATATTTTAAAAATATTTGTGTCTAGACATTTCCTGATAAACATACCTGATTTTAACATTTCTTGATAAACATACCTGATTTTAATATTTCCTGATAAACATACCTGATTTTAAAAAAATCGTTCACTAGGAAATTACCTAAAGAGAGTACTTTAGTTGACATTTGTGACATTTCGGCATTATTTGTTATACATTATTAAGAAGACTGTTGTCATTATATCAAGCGACGTTTTAATAATATAGCGGGGCATAGTTCACAATGGTTTACTAAACTTGTGTCAGATAAATAATGAATAAGATATCTTTATGTTTAATCTTAAAATGGATTATTTTTAAATGAGATTTCTCCATTTAAGTTTAAATTGCATATATATTTTATAAATAAAGGAATTTGTAAAATATTCATTTCCGTTTTATAATGGTTCAATTCCGAATATTCGACATAGTTTCACACAAAATAAAAATATTTGATGAGCAAAAGCTATTTAAACGACCCCTTTAAGAAAAAAAATAAATGCCCTGGATTTCATTTTTGAGTCTTTAAAACTATTTTACATACTGAAAACCACTGCATTATCTCGTTGTCAAGTTACCTGCATTTACAGTAATATTCAAATCTAGTTTCGAATAATTTACATACCTAAAATAGTAATGATTGTATTGTACATTGTAAATGAGATATGAGGTTTAACAGGGAGGGGTTGCAGGGCCGCTATCAACCTCGTGAAAACCGCAAAACCGCAAAACCGTCTCCACGCCTCTTACTATATCTCCAATTGCCTCCGACATTGTGTCTCTGCACGTCCCACATTTTGGTCTCCATTAAACAAATATTTGGCTTTTACATCCACCAAAAACCTTTTTTTAAAACAATCTCAACATGATAAAATAGTTTTTAATGATAAATAAACAATTTGTTTTAAAAATATAAGGTTTATTGAGATTAAGAAATGGGTTAGTGTAGTCTTAAATACCAATGCTAAAAACAAGTGCTTAATAGCGCTAAAAGGTACATTGAAAGGGCTACAGAAAAGCAGAAGCTAAGTAGAGTTGCTACACTTCAAAGCCGACCCTGTTATTGAAATTTGATGAAACTTTTATAAGCAGGCTGAATCTATGTGTATGGAGTACGATATGATACCCTGATAGGTTCAGATTAAATATCAAGTATTGTTCAATCAAGTTAAACATCGCTTACATCCAGCGAAAATGTTTTACATGTTTTTAGAACGTCATTTTTTTCTATTATATGTTTTTAAAATTTTTTTTTAGAGGTCTTTGGGCGCAATTATTTTGTATTTTACATGTCTAAATTAATCATCGATTCGCGGATTTTCTGTTGGTGGGTTTTCAAAAATCGTAATTGTCGATATGTTCTTTTCCAATCATAAACCTTCTTTTTAGGGTCATGTGAGATTCCACAACAAACTTGTATATATCTCCATAATCTCTTTATATACAAGGTTGAGACTCCAGAGACGACTGTACGAAATTCATAGTGCAGCCTGATTCCCTTCAACTGAAATTTAAATGAAAAATTATTTTAGTTTATTGATTTCCAAAATTTCATAAAAATTCATAAAAAATTGAATGAGATATAACAAAAATCCGCAAAAAAATTAGTGTGGAAATTTACAGTAAATATTATCAAACTATAATTTTGGAACTGTTTTTTGTTATATCTCATTGAATTCTAGAAATTAGCCCATTGCTGAGCCCGTAGATGTAATCATAGGTGACCTATAGAGATAGGTACAAGGATAGGATGGAAGATAAGGTAAAGAAATGAGGGGAAAGGTACGGAACTGTATTAAAATATTCATTTCAGCAACTATTGGAAATATTAAATTAAAACCTGTTGAATTCTAAAAATTAAGTTTTTTTGTTTTTGTTGCGTAATTTTTATATAGAAACCTGCAAATAGAAATTAAAAATTTTAAGATAGGAAAGCCAAATGCCGACATTTTGCCCGAATTATTTAAGAAAACAAAATATTTTAAAAATTTTATAAAACAAACAAAAATGCGTATTTGGGTACAATTTCTGTTGCGCTAATAAGTTATTAAATAATATTTTTGAGTGAAACGGACAAAATGGGCTAAAATATCCGGCGTTGCCCGTGAAGTTTTGGAAGAATTCGAATTTGGAAAAAGATTTCAAATATTTTTAGCCAACGTTTTATTATATAGAAATTACACACATCCAAAGAGAATAGAATATATATTAGAGTGGAATATAGTCAATCCCTCGGTATGAATTTTGTCAGTCCCTTTCAGCCTGAAAGGGAGTTCATAGTGTACAAATCATGTAAATGTTCACAAATTATATGCAGTAGAGTACATTAATACAGTATGTTCCCTAGACTATCCATTTCAATTTCAAATTTTTTAAAGCTGTTAAATAAACTTTATAAAATGAATTAGGTGAATAAAAACATCATTTGATTTATAGTTATAACAGAAAATCATCGTTTGTAAAGTGGAAGGCATAGAGTCTATGTGAAATGATAATTGGTCAATTATGAAACCATGCTCTTTCAGAATTTGGTTTTCTTTTAATATTAATTTTAGATTTTCTATAAAATGATGTTCCAGGGCCCAAAAGGTTATATAGCGCAAATATGTGAAGTACACCTGCAGTATGGAAACAGTAGAACAAAATGGCCGTTTTACTCTTTTATCTAGTAAATTCCTCTCTAATATATATTCTATTCTCTTTGGAAATGGATCTGTTTACACTGCACAATTGCTGTGTCTCATGTTCATTGGACTATTTAAAGTCAGAACTTGTGTCTAAAAGTCGACTTTCTAATCCAGAGTTTTCTGGTTATCACTGTATCTTTACTTTTAGGGCTATCTCTGGTTTCCATTTCTAGCTTTCTATCCCTCTATCTCTGTGTACTGCACAGTGTGTTTTAAGTGAAGTACACTTTCCAAGGAATGCTGCAATCATAAAAATTATTTCAGGATGCTGCAATTATAATACTTAAAAAAGGGTTCATTTATGACGATGCAACTGGATAAAACGCCTCAAAAATTTTAAACTTTTAAGAATTTTTTTGTAAGTGTACTGCAGTTTGCAGTACTGTACTTCTTTATTAACAAATGCAGTACACTTTTAATTTTTGTTTTTGTTTACTAAATTCATTTCTAAATAGTTTATTATTCAGTTGAGATCTGCCGGTAAGATATGAGTAAATAGGTTAAATATTCTATTCTTTAGAATTATTAATATCATTTTATTCTTTAGAATTATTAATAATAAAACTTAAGTGATTTTGTACTAATAATGTACAATAAGTGGTTTGTTTTTTGTATACAGAGTTTGTCAGGCACTAAAATTGGCTTAGTGTAAGAATTGAAATATAATTACTTTTCTTAAAATATTCCAAATTTTGAATGAAAATATTTGAAAAATCGAACTAAAAATGATTCCAAAATGAACGTTTCTGGATCTTTTATCCATTTCATGTTTTAGGATAAAAATATTGCAAACCTTAATAAAATCAAAGTTTAATAGAAAACCGTTTGAAATCTTGGAAGTTTTATAAAATGTTTAAAGGGAGTGACCGGCTATGTAAGGTAAACAAGAAACAAATCAACATGATTTGCAACACTGCTTATATCTTACCCTTATCTTAAAAGAACTGCGTAAGCATAATTTAAAAGATCTGCTATGCAAAGAAAGCATTGTCCGATTTACAGTAGTACCCTTAAAGCCTTAATCTGATACATAAAATTTTTTTTTGTGGATCTTTCCATTGTTTCTTAAAGCAATAAATGCGCAAGTCAATATTGCAGTTAAGCTAAAAATTTAAATGAACAGTTAATTAAGTAAAAACATGGATATCTCACTCACATTTTATCAGAGAAAGCTTTTAAGGGTACCGTTGTAAATTGAGCAATGCATCTTGCTATTGAGGGAATTCAGGGCTTCTTGAAAGTTCCGCCTTTAATCAACCTTTAAATGTTTCAAGATTTTTGAATTATTTATTACAGATTAGAATGAGAGAGTGGTTGATCCTATTTGCCCTTTTTATATCTCTGTATCAGGTTGCATAATGCATATATTCAATTTAATCTTTTTTCTTTTTTTTATTTGAAACAAGAGGCCCAATTTAAAGAATTTGAGTTGCGGCTCAAATAATGTTGGTTCAACTTAAAATCTTTTTAAATGTTTCAAGACTTAAGCCGGGGTTCAATTGAAACCAGTTATTTAAAATGCTTCTTGTCTTTTTCTGTTTAATTCTTGTTCATTAATTTTCGATGGTTCCAATATGCTGATTCCAGTCCTAGCTTGTAAATGGTGGGTATCCTAAATCATGATGAATCAAAATGATGATCACTTATAACAAGAAATTCAATTTGGGAATTGAGCCTTATATCTAGAATCTGCCAAAACAAAGCAAAATTTTCATTTTACTTATTAATGTTGTTAATGTTTGCAAATAATAGCTGTTAACATCCATAATAAATTATTTACTTTGATTATTTTTTAGGCTAAAAATCTTGAGAATAAGTCAGTGAGGGGAACAAATGAACCCGACAAAAGATTGTTAACAGCTGACAATTCACGCCCCAGAGTTAATCAGTACACATATCAACCATGGGATAATATGCTTCGCCAACGCAACCAACAACCAAATCCAATTCTTCCAGAGGACCCCATTTCCCAAAGACTTGGCCAACAACGCCAATCCAATATTCTGGAAGACTCTTTTTCAAGTAGACAGAATCAGCTTTCAGGGTCTGCTGATAATCGGAGGGAAACCCCCAGTCGACAGAACAATAAACTCCGTCAAGCTACTATCTCCAAAAGAACAAATTCTCGCTTGGAAAGCTTATCACAATCTACAACCCAACAATATCAGAGCAGATTTCCAAAGGATGATAACCCGGATATTCTTGGCAAACAAGACTTTGAGAGCTCTTATGACAGGTCGTATGATGAATTCTCTTTACCAAATGATCTAAACGAAGGGCCATATCAAGGATTCAATAGACAACGTGCTAGCTCTTCAATGGAGTCTTCAAATAATTTGCCAAGAAAACCAGAGAATTCATATCTTGGCTATAATTCACAAGAATTAACCCCTGAACCAAAAACCCGGAGCCCTTTTAAGAAAGTTCTTAGCGATCCCTACACCACTTCAAAAGGTTTGATATTTTATTTTCAACTAACTAAAAGCATTACAAGTACACGCTAAATTAAGCTAGTAGGGTAAGTCAAATGGGCCTATGATAAGCCAGTTTCTGTAAAAAGTCTGGCTACGCCGTCAAAGTTGAAACTGAGCTGGCATAGGATGGTTTATGCACCTTTGCCCCTTTAGTAAAAGTAAATTGAACCTATATGAAGCATAAAGTCTGACCGAATAAACCTTGTTGCACCGGCTAGTCCTGTACATAGAGCTAGGTACAGTACAAACTGGGACCGGAAAGGTCGACTCGGCTCGGAAATTCATATGTACTACGGCTGCCCCTGCAGGGGTTGCTCTGGTTCGAATTCAAAATCCTAGTACCCCATGAGAATTAAGCCTTTGATGTAAACTGATCATATCTAACTGTTAAATAAATTCGCGATTAAATGTTGATAATATTTGAAATGGAATTTTTATTATAATTTAGATTGTTTTATTATCAAATGTTGTAGGTGAATCTGAGTTAAAGTCAAGACACCAATCTGTTACTGGATATGAAGGTGGTTATGGTTCCCACGGTACAGTACCAAAATATTAAACTGAAACCTATTTTTATAAAGAACTTATAAAGTTTTCATTTCTTTATCATATATTTCAGGTCAATATGGCTTCAGGCAAAAACTTAGGCCTTTTAATGGATATGGGGATAACTATGGTTCTACCAGCAATCTTTATCAGGGTAATTACATTTAAGAAAGTCAATAGAGTTATGATAGATAAGAGTATAGGTGTACTTAAGTACAAGCTTTAAAAAAAATTTCCTTGTACTAGGTGCTCTAGTATCTGTAACCCTGTAACCCTTAGTAAATGGGTTGGGGTGGAGGGGGGAATAAGGGGGCGGGTATTGAGGAGATTCTTCATATATCTATTATTAACTCTTACTATAACTAGCTTTAATATAATTGTTTTAGGACAGTATATCTCAAAGCCAAAACCACAACCTTCTCCTGGATATGGAAATGGAGATGGTTATGGGTTTGGACATAAAGATGTTTATGGAGATGGTTATAGTTCTACCAACACTCCTTATCAGGGTAAATATTTAAGTATTACTTTAAAAAATTAGTTTTTAATATTAACATTTTAGGACAGCATAGCTTAAAGCCGAAACCCCAACCCTCTCAAGGATATGGAGATGGTTATGGGTTTGGACATGAAGATGGTTATGGAGATGGATATGGATCTACCACCAATCATTATCAGGGTAAATATTGAAGTATGACTGTCCAAAATTAGTCTTAATATTAACATTTTAGGACAGCATAGCTTTAAGCCAAAACCCCAGCCCTCTCCAGGATATGGAGATGGTTATGGGTTTGGACATGAAGATGATGATGGATATGGATCTACCACCAATCATTACCAGGGTAAATATTGAAGTATGACTGTCCAAAATTAGTCTTTAATATTAACATTTTAGGACAGCATAGCTTTAAGCCAAAACCCCAACCCTCTCCTGGATATGGAGATGGTTATGGGTTTGGACATGACAATGGTAATGGAGATGGGTATAGTTCTACCAACAATCATTACCAGGGTATAGTATTGAATTATTACTTAAAAAAATTTGTCTTAAATAGTAACATTTTAGGACAGCATAGCTTAAAGCCAAAACCAAAACCTTCTCCAGGATATGGAGATGGTTATGGGTTTGGACATGAAGATGGTCATGGAGATGTGTATGGTTCTACCAACAATCATTACCAGGGTATAATATTCAATTTAGGGCTGCGCAAAGTTTCGATGACAAAAAGGAGGTTTTCAAAAATTAACAGATTTTGTTAACAAACGGCAAAAACCGTTAATTTTTAAATTGTTAACAAAACAGATAGTGTTTTAGAGCAGCCAAAACAGGAACTCTCTAATAGTTACCGCCCAGGTTACAATTCTCAAGGTACTCTCAGATTTTTTAATCAGATTTTTACCTATTTTTCCATGTTTCAGGCTTAAAGCCAAAACCCCAATCATCTAATGGATATGGAGATGGATATAATTTTCCAACCAATTTATACCAAGGTAACTCAGAATATTGTTCAGAAGTTTCAGTTTTCCAAAATTAAAGAAATGATCATTAATAAAATAAATTATAAAACTCGTCTTTTGTTGTTTCAGCCCAGCACAGCTTGAAGCAAACACATCAACCCTCTTATGGAAATGAAGGTGGTTATGGTCCTCCTCAAAACTTCTACCAGGGTAATTAGAAACATTTGAAATTTGTGTATCCACAATTCGAAGGCATTAAACGTTTGTTCCATTTTTCTTGAAGTAGTTGAACATTCATAATCATTTCAACTTTCATTCTGCTATAATCTAGTTATCCCTGTGTGCATGGTAATGACTGGCATCTATGTATTACTGCCTATTCACAAACATATACAGACCCATGTTCCCCCAACAGAGGGACGTTAAGTTACTTTACGTCCCTTGGGACAATTAAGTAAAATAATAGCACTCTTTGTGATTTTTTTGTCAAAAAATTTGTGCATTTTTTTCTTAAAAAAACGATATAATTAAGTACAACAACTTTTTTAGGAAATTATGAATTTTACCACTGGTTAACTTGACCAATTTTGTTAAATACATCTCTCTATGTTCTTGATATTTTGTAGGCACAATTGGTCTTGGGAACCCGGCCTTGGTAAAATATAATTTCTTTAACTTCCCTGTAAAATAGTTGTAGATAAAATTTTTTTTAGAACATGACACTCAAAAGCAACATGAATACGGAGGTTCGGAGAACAAAAAAGGTCTGAAAACTTTTATTGAAGATTTTCTTAAGATTCTCAAATGGGAAAAATCCCAGGAGCATATTCTTAACCTTTCATAATTTTGTGAATACAAAACCTTTTCAATTTTATTTTTGTATTTTAGGATGCCTTCATTGTCCATATCTTTCAACAGATGGCTACAGCAAAGAAGTAGTCTATGCTAAGTATGCCATTACCTTGTCTCTAATTTATATATAAAGTAGTAATCTCTGTTTGTTTGTAAGTCGGATCATAACTCATTAACCCCCTGACCGATTTTCCTCAAATGTTGAACCCTGTGAATGTTTTAGCTTGGTATTAAAAATGAGTGGGTTAGCTTTCATAGCAAGACTTTAGTTACCAGACAAAGCTGGTGCCCAAGCTAGTTCTGAACAAAACCAAATGTCCATAGTTTGTCGTAATATTCTGTTCATAATATGTTTATTTCATGGCCAAAATTATAGTTTTATTATTGATATTATTATCATTTATTTAAGGGATGTGAAAGCAGTTAATATCGATTTTGTTGCTGGTATCGGAGGCACATTAATGGGTAAGAAAACTTCTTAGTTCTTATTTTGGAGATTAAGCATAATTTCAAGTTACCCTTGTTGCTGATATGGCAAAGCCCGATTCACAAGAGTAACCTTAAAGGGAGTGTTCGCGAAAAATGAAAGGGGGTTATAGGCTTAATGCGATAAAAAAGCGCTTTTGATCGCTACTAATTGTTAAAGACGTCTCATACCGAATAACATGGCGTCCATACAAATTGAGAAATTTCAACATACAACTTAGACCGTAAAAAAAATAAATTTAATTTCAAACAAATCATTCAGATATTGCTACCTATAGTCATCGATTATCTTTCGCCACATTTATATATAGTTGATTTTTCATAATATGTTTTAATTGTTATGATCTGAGAGTTACTTATAAAAACATTTATTCCTGTTTCGAGGATTTTTGGTAATGAAGACGACATTTTCATATTTTCCAGGAATGTTCGAAAACAAGTTGTAAGCTAAATATTATTAAAAAAAAAATCAAAACTAGTATGAAATATCAAATATATACAAATGTGGCTGGCGAAAGATAATCGATGACTACAGGTTGTAATATCTGAATGATTTGTTTGAAATTAAATTGATTTTTTTACGGATTAAGTCGTATGTTGTAATTTTCTGAATTTGTATGGCCGCTAAGTTATTCAGTATGAGACATCTTTAACAATTTTCTCCTTATAGACGCAACAGATAGAAGTAAGATTAGTAGCGATCAAAAGCGCTTTTTTATACCCCCTTTAATTTTTCGCGAACACTGCCTTTAAAATGTTCATCTGATCAGTAGGGTTGCAGATATTGTTGTTTTATGTATGTTTAAAAATGTAAAATTCTAACAAATTGTATAGGGTTTTCTGCAGTAGAAATGTGGAAATCACTAAGATACAATAACCACTATTAAACCTTATTAATTTTCAAAACTAAACATAGATATATAGTTTGTACTCCTCTAAACTGCAGGCATTGCTATCTTTTAATATCAGGGGTTGCTTGAAATAACGCTTACTCATTGTCTCTTTCTTTATATTTTTGGGGGATTTTAACAAAGATTAACAACATAAGCAATCAATAAATAAATTGATCAATGATATCTTTGATTTTTCAGCTGCTACAGCAATAACTGCGGACATTAATACATGTGAATACTCGTTTACTCTTGGTAAGTCATCAACTACATTAAATTTAAGACTGTGGATTGCAGAAACCCTTGTATATAAAATAGAAGAAAGGAACTGAGATCTATGAAATGAAGATTTTATGTAAATTAATATAGGTGGTTATCAAAGTTGTCTTGAACGTCTGACAGTAGCTTCCCTATTGGAAACTGTTAATCACCACCTGCGGGGAATTGCTTACAGTAAGTTTTCGCGCAATTATAATTTTTTAGTTCTTCTAAAATTATCTTCAAAATATTTGAGTGAGTTTTGAAAATTTTTATTCTTTAAATTTTTTAAATTTTAGGCTGGTAATTGGTGAGATATAAAAACTATTATTTTAGATAGACTTAACAAAGGATATTTGTATGCTATTGGACAGTACGGACTATCAGAGGTTTGTTACACTAAATATGTTAATGTTGTCTTCTTTAAAATTATTTTATATCTAACTAATAAGATGGATTTTTGACGGTGCAGGCGTTTATCAAGTTGATTTGAAGAAGATCAAAGCCGCAACATATTGTAGTATGCACAATGGGCAAAAACAAGAAATATTTGTATTTTATGATTACTGAGACTAAATTGTAATTACACTCCCTCCCTTGAACCACTGCACCCAGTGTGGAAAGTGAAGTTGTTTGTACAGACAGTATGTGCACAACATACATGATAACCCCAAAATATTGATTGATTATTCCAAAATATACAGCTTAATTACAGCTGTGTTAATAATTAATCCCGGCTGTGCTACATGGGCGGGGCAGTGCATGTCAACAGACAACAATCCATCCTCTGTAGTTGATCCTTGACCATATCTAATAATTCAGGGCCTAGAAGCGCAGGCTGAAGTGCTTGTTAAAGATTTGAAAGAGGACAGCCAGGCTAAGCAAGATCAGTGGAAGGTATAATATACTTCAGTAAATCTACAGACTAATAATATACTTTAGTAAATCTACAGACTAATAATAAACTTCAGTAAATCTACAGAATAATAATAAACTTCAGTAAATCTACAAAATAATAAATGTTCAATAAATCTACAGACTGATAATAAACNATAGAATAAACAAGTATCTTTTTTCAATAAAAATATTGTTTTAGTTAATATTTCTGATGCCACTTGAGTTCTACATTTGTGGAGTAAGTAAAACTTATAGAATTTTTGTTTTATTATAAAAATAAAATACTAATTATTTAATTTCTTTTAAAGGCTTGTCCAATGGCTGGATATGATGGGCATGGAGTAAATTTAGATCAATTAGATGCATTTAAAAGTGATCTTAAAAAAGCATTTAATCATCTTCTCTCTCTCCGAAATGTTATCATCTATACCATTCCCTTTCCAGGTATGGTATTATGTCTTTTGGAAAGTATGCTTTCAAAATATTGGATTTTTTAAATGCTTGTCCTAACGTATTTATCAAAAGTAAGTTAAAATGTCTAAGTTTTAAGTAATCTGCAGTTTAATCCAGAATTTTGAGGAAATCAAAAGTATTTACAAAATGTCGTTTTGAATATTGATAATGGAATTCTGCGGATATTTAATTTTTTTAATTGAAAAATTATTAGAAGCTTTTATAATAAATTCTCGTACATTTTATGGTATTTATTAATTTTTACAATTACTGGGAATTATGTAGGTATAATAGAGTATAAAACCGATAGAATAATTGTCATGACAACATTTTAAAATTATTTTGATGTCTACGAAGTTCTAGGTTTAACTAAATATATTTTTTTTTATTACAGATATTGGAGATATTCTTGACCTTGACTTGTCTTCCTGTTCTGGTGATGGTCTCAAATATGCTTGTCCATGTATTCATGATCTGACATTTTGTAAGTTTTTTTTATTTAAATGAAGCCATGGTCTTTTTTCTATCTTTAAAGAAAACTTAAAGATGAAAGCACACCAAGGGAAGCACTCACCCAAACAAAAAATGAACGGCGAAGACCCTACTTTACAAAAGCTTTAATTGGGAGGTTTTTTTTGATTATTTTAATAACTACTTTGTTAACATAGATTGAATTTCAGATACTGGAACAGATAAAGAAACGCTCATTGAAACATTCCTAGAAGTAAGTTTACATATTTGTTCGCTGCTCAGCTGTTTTTCCTGCTTAATAGGGAATTTAAACTCTCTTTTTTTTGCTCATACTGGATGGATTGGTGTTAATCGGTGTTCATTTTTTTAATCGGCATGTATTCAATATCTAAAAGCAATGAAAATATTCTACAGGGTGTCCCAATAAACATGGGAATTCAGTGACGAATTTGATATTTTCTTTTTAAATAATTCTTTGATTTAGCATAGTGATACCTACTGAGAAAGCTGTAAGCAGTTAGAGTTTCGTCTGCTACGTTCACATTTTGTTTGTTTATATTTTGACAGAATACGGTTGTACTTAAGCAAAGCAAGACAATCGCACTTTATAAACATAGTAAACTTGTCCGCCTTCACTGTTCATCTTGCGGAGACATTATAGACACATCTTTACAGTCTCTTACCCTTTTCATAAAATAAACTCTAGCAGACATAATAATACTATGGCTTGTGAAATCCGGTATTAAAATGCTAATTCATAACAAAGACGATATCGAATTCGTCACAGAATTCCCATGTTTTTTTGGGCATTTGCTATTCTATATTGTTATTTGCGCGCACATGCCCGTAAAATTCCAAAACTGAGAGAGGGGGATTGAATTTTGTAGATCCAGAAAAATAATATTTGTGGGATGCCTGCGTAGAGACTGGCAGCTGGTGGGGTCTTCAATGTAAGACATGTGGCCGCAACTCTCGGCCCCCTAGCCTGTCCTAGCTGCAGCGCTCGGCCCAGAAAGTGCATGTGCGCGCAACATAGAATGGCAGCTCCCTGTTTTTTGGGACACCCTGTATATTTTTTCCATTTACAACAAAAGTTCGTTACTATAGGCCACTCAGGCTGAAGGGTTTGTGAGGCTACGCTTGGCTGTAATTTGGGAACGAAATGTTTAATGAAGTCAATATTGATTAAGTTAGACTAAGTAAAACATTCATTATTAAAATAACAATGTTATCCTTGTTCTTAACTGTGCTGCTCCACATAGACTGATGGAAATTTTTTCAGAATATAGCAGTTTATCAAGAAGCGTTCACTGAGATTGTAACCAGGTAGTATAGCGTTTACTTGGATTGTATTGTAACCAGGTACTATATGGCGTTTTCCAAGGTTGTAACTAGATAAAGAGATGTTTAGTTGGATTGTGACCAGGTAATATAGCGTTTACTTGGATTCTAACTGCAGGTAATATGGCGTTTACTGAGATTGTAACCAGGTCATATGACGTTTACTGAGATTGTAACCAGGTAATATGGCGTTCACTGAGGTTGTAACTAGGTAATATGGCGTTTACTGAGATTGTAACTAGGTAATATGGCGTTTACTGAGATTGTAATTTGTAACAAAGTGATTTGGCATTTTACTGAACTCCCAGTTCATTTGAATTAATTTACCACTTTCTATTCAATAGGAATGAATAAATATTTTACCCAGGCCAGTCGTAAATTGGTCAGGCAAAAAATGTGTACATAGGAAGTACATAGGACATAAAGAGAAGACGCAAGCTTTGTTTCATTATTACACATTCTATATTTCTCAATAGTTCGGATGCTATATCAGATTTGATTTCAGTTTCAAGACAAGTATCAAGGATTGGGAGGATGCAGGAATCATAGTTGGGAACCCGTGGAAGCATACAAAAACTATGTTTCCAAGCTTAGATTCTCTTGGTAAGTTTATCTTGTAAATTAGATTCTCTTGGTAATTTATCTTGTAAATTAGATTCTCTTTGTAATTTATCTTGTAAATTAGATTCTCTTGGTAAGTTTATATTGTAAATTAGATTCTCATGGTAAGTTTATCTTGTAAATTAGATTTTCTTGGTAAGTTTATCTTGTAAATTAGATTTTCTTGGTAAGTTTATCTTGTAAACTGGATTCTCTTGGTAAGTTTATCTTTAATTGCTTGTAAACTTGCAAGTCGAAAAAAGCTTGTTTACAATGAAAACTTAAATAAAAAAGATTTTCATTATTTTGATATAAATAACAATTTTTTTTCTTAGCGAATAACTGTTTTAATTGGGGAGTGGACCTTAACGCTGCAGGTACACTGATTTGACTTAATTTATTTCAAACCATTAATATTGCATGCTCTTTCTTCTGGGATTTCCTAAAATATTATTTTTTTTATTTCCTAAATTGGCTGAAAAGTTAATGTTGTTTGACCTGCCAGAAATTACTAACATTCCATTTCATGCAATTCCATTTTAAAAAAATTCGCAAATTTCGATGTATTATCGACAAAATTTTTGACCTAATTTTTGTGAAAATTTTGTTAATTTTAGACTAGTTTTCATTAAATTTTTGTTCGATAAAAATCAGATTTTTTCCAGATGACCGATTTTTGACGTAGTGTTTGGAAAAAGATTTGTTTACTTCTTGGAAACCCATAATTCACATTTTCATGTAATTTATGTTTTTGGGACACCTTGTAATGTAATCCGTTTATTTTAGCTGCTGCTCTTGTGTGGAATGATATGTGGAGTACCAGCAATGGATATTCTACAGAAATTGGTAAGGATCAATTTTTTGAAGATGCTGGTTGTCTCACGAAACCTGACATATTTTTGAGATGCAAGAAGGTCTTTTCTGATCTTTGAAAAATGTGTGGTTTGCATTTGTCATTAAATCTTCATGTATGGTTCTACCTTATTGTAGGTTCACAATTCAAGATTTAAAACTACCTTTTATTTGTCATTAAATCTTCATATATGATTCTACTTTATTGTAGGTTCACAATTCAAGGTTTAAAACTACCTTTAATCTGTCTTCTTGCCGTCATGTTTCGTGGGACACTCTGTATTAAAGATTAAAATAGTTTAGAGAAAGGCTTCACATGCCCCCCACCTAAAATCCTGACTTATGTTGCGCCTAATTTGTTATTGTAGGTCTAACACATGTTGTCAAAAAGACTTCTTCAGATATTACAGCGTAATTTTATATGCCTAATGTCTGCATAACAAGTATTTTAACCAACATTTCTAATTTTTCCGTTTAATGTTACAAAAAAACCTTTACCCCCTCCCCCCAGTTTTCAGTCTTTGTTCATAGTTATTTTCAAAATGTTAAAGACGACATTTTATCTAATCTTCTTTTGCAATTTTAGATGTTGAATTCCTGGACACTGAGAATATAATCAGCGGATGGAATTCCCAGAGGTTTCGTCTATTATGTCCTTACTCTACGCTCATCAAGGATCATCAGAGCCCTCCAAGATATCATCTGTATTGATCATACCCTCCGAGATATCAACTGTATTGATAATACCCTTACAGATATCTACTTTATTGATCTTGCTCTTACAGATATCTACTGTATTGATCATACTCTTACAGATATCTACTGTATTGATCATACTCTTACAGATAGCTACAGTATTGATCATACTCTTACAGATAGCTACTGTATTGATCATACTCTTACAGATACCTACTGTATTGATCATACTCTTACAGATATCTACTGTATTGATCATACTCTTACAGATATCTACTGTATTGATCATACCCTCACAGATACCTACTGTATTGATCATACTCTTACAGATATCTACTGTATTGATCATACCCTCACAGATACCTACTGTATTGATCTTACCCTTACAGATACCCAAGTATTAATCAACATTTTAATGTTCCCCCTTTTTATTTATAAGTTTTGTATTGTAAAGTTTATGTATTTACTATGTAAATAAATTCTTAATTATTCTTTTTTTTAAAGTTCACAAAAAAGAGGTTATTTATCACGATAGTTGTAAAAAATCTTCGACTCTTGAGTTACGAAGGGGTTTAGTGTTTTCAATTGTTAAATTCAGTTAATAGATTTCTAGGTGTTAAATCCAGAGTAATTTTACAACAAATTCTATTTTAAAAAGATGCTACATGTATGTTTTAATGTCTGAAAAAATCCCCATGTCTAGTCTTGCAGGGAAATTTAGAGCTACAGCATTTCATGCTACGTATCCGGATAAACATTATACAAGTACTTTATCTAACAATAAGTAGCTGAACAGTTCAGATGTAGTTCAATAACTTCTCGTGTGGGCTGGTTCAAGCAGAATAGAAATAGTTGAACCACTTCTATGGGTTCAACCGTGTCTCATTAAATTAGATCTTAGACGGAAGAAACTATATTGGCAAAAAAGTTTAAAGATTTCAATTAATTAAAAAAAAGAAATATTATAATGGTTTACCAAACACTGTAACTAAAATTATTGTTTAATTATCAAATATCTATGTGCAGAGGAACCTTTAAAAAAAAAAAACAATTAAATGTCTAGATGAGCAACCTTCTTCTTTGATCTAGTCAAGTGTTAACCACTTATTTCAACCCTTGTTGAAGGTAGTTTATTATTCTTCAGAATTTACATACCTAAAAAAAGAACTCGTTAGTTTATTTTCATAAGTCTTTTCTGCAGAAATCCAGCTGCACACAATCGATAATGTGCTTAAAAATTGGACCGATCGTGTAGGCTACTGCATGGCCAGCCGAGGCGGCCATTTGAATGAAAATATTTTCCATTATTAATCGGAAGGATTGTATTCAGTAGTTTTTTTTTATAGCATTTTCAAAAAAAAAATTATTTGGCAGACCCTTTAGAAAATAGGGATTTTAAAACTCTGAATTCAAGTTCTATTGAAGATAGCATATAGCATATAAAGATTATAACATTTTGTAGTGTTAAAAAATAAATTTATTAAAGTCAAAAATAGTTTTACCCCCCAAATTGCGCATTTCAATACTCTTTGTCCAATTGCTCGTAAACATTTTGTGCGATATGTGCTCAAAACGATTAAAATTGCATTCTTAATAAGCGTTGTATTTAATAATTAAATGCTCATAGAAAAAGCGAAATAAATGCATTTGCTTGCAAAACATAAATTATTGAAATTCTAGGCCAAATTATGCTACCATGGAATATCACAAAAATATGTTATTTTTAATTTTTTAACACCTTTGTTTATTCACATTTAATTTTCTAGCGGCATGACGAAACTAAAGTCATGCCCATTTGACCTTGGATTTTATTCACTTTGGGATTATATACAAACATATACTAGGCTTATTGGGTGCTTTGCGGCCCCCTTCACAAATAATCTTTTTCTCTGAAATTCGACATTTTTCCAGTCAAGATTGTTCATCTTTGAAGATTTATAAACCTTTTGCTGGGATCATGTGAGTTACCGTTTGAGTAATTGGTTCAACCATTTCTAGTTGGTATACACTCTATACAGACATCAAGACAGACAAACAAACAGCCAAACCAAATACATATATATTTTGTACAATTTTGTATGAATACATCCTTTATACAATATATGATGTAACACTTTACATTCAAAAAGTTTTAAACTGAACCATTGTAATATTTCCAAAAAGAAGATTTTGATAATATTAAGATTTAAAAGAATAAAAAATTGTAGTCATGGATAAAAAGATATCGAAGCAAAAATACTTGTTTTACAAAAATATTACTGTAAATTCATGAACTCCTGAAATTCCTAAATTCGAATACATTTTTTACACAGCGTAGTTCCTGTACATTTTTTACACAGCGTAGTTCCTGTAAATTTTTTACGCAGTGTAGTTCCTTTACATTTTTTACAAGGCGTAGTTCCCATACATTTTTTACACAGCGTAGTTCCTGCACATTTTTTACACAGCATAGTTCCTGTACATTTTTTACACGGCGTAGTTCCCGTACATTTTTTTACACAGCGTAGTTCCTGTACAATTTTTTTAAACACAGCTTACTACAAAACTGGTGTTTTTGTCTCGCGTCGAAGGAGTAAGACAAAAATAGATTTTTTGGTTGATTTACTGTATATTTATAGATTTATATATAAGGATTTATTATCTTGTAAACAAATTATTCAGGGTGGGACAACATATTTCGAAGGCGGGACATTGTGGGGGGGGGGTCAGGGGGGAGGGGGCGTATGTAGAATAAAGGGCGTTAACAGACCATCAAAGTTTATGCATTCTGCATATATATGTATACAGGGTGAGTTATATATTGTTCGATCCAGAGCTGAGATTATAAAAGCTTAAACTACAGAAAGAACCGGCTTAAGGGTTTATTTACGCCCAAGTGATGACCAAGGGAAGACCCGAGGGTTTGCTAGACTTGGTTTTAAGTAAAACCAAGTGAGTTTTTTTTTATCTCTTCTTATACTTGGTCCATATTGAAGATGGAAACTGTAAATTTCGGAAAAAAACATAAATATTTTTAAATTTAATATCTCGGTAAGTATCTCCAGTGTAAATATTGGCTAGATTTATACGATAAACGCACTTCAGAATATTAACTTAAAGTTAGAGTTTTCGAAATTTACATGGAGGAAAGCTGGACATATCAGATGTGAAAGCATCTCCGAACTTTACCCAATTTGAATCTCCACCAATGCTTGAGTTTACAAAGGTCGGGCTTAACTTTTAAAATCTCAGCTCAGCTTCAAATTTAGCGAACACCACAAAGATAGAATAAAAAAGTACAAGTATGACAGTGCTCACTTATTCCAGCTCTATTGGTAGGATATACAAATTTTGCCAAACTAGGCTTTTAGGGCGCTTCACGCCCATCTTCTATTTCAACTTTTAATTGTGGCTTTATCTCTGATTTCATAATATTTTTTAAACACAAATTTTTAAAACTTTTAAACACAAATTTTTAAAATTTTGATCATTTATAAACCTTCCCTGTGGTCACGTGAGGTCCCACACTTAATATGGGACCGGTCGGTTCAGCTGTTTTAACGTTTATTGGATACAAACAACAAACAAACAGATAGACAGACAAGCTTAATCTTTATATAGATTAGATGACAGCTGCTGCATGTATTTGTCATTTTTGTTTTTCTATATCTCCATTTTCTTCTTGTGTTTTTTTGTGTTTAACAATTAGGTAAATTATAATATACGAAAAGAAACATTATAAATTCTACAAATAGATAGTTCTATCCTTAAAAATACTAACATGGTATCCCAAATAAAGAATCAAGCCTGAACATATAATCATTTCCGATTTTTAATAGTATCTTTCGTTTGAAAAAAAGATTTTATTTGTTAACCATAATTGATAATTTTTTTGATGAGTTTGTTTTAAGATTGTTCGGATTCCACTTTATGGATTTGAAAAATCCTGAAATTGTCAGGTCTTGCTTTGAGTGCAAAAATAAAAACTTTTTTTGTTCAAAGTTAAATTTTTTTTTTTTTGAAGTTTCTTTTCATGTACGGTAAATATGAAGTTGGGGGAACAAAAATTTGTTTAATAGGATAAAATAAGAATTTAATAATAGGACAATTTATTAGTTAAGAATTTCACAATAGGATATTTATTAGTTAAGAATTTCATAATAGTACATTTATTAGTTAAGAATTTCATAATGGGACAATTTATTAGTTAAGAATTTCATAATAGGACATTTATTAGTTAAGAATTTCATGATAGGACATTTATTAGTTAAGAATTTCATAATAGGACATTTATTATAGTGCCTTTTTACATAATATCTGGAGCTTGAAGAACTTAAATCACACCTAGTTTTGGGTAACCCTGTATAAATAACATATTTAAATATATCTGTATATAAGTCCTATCAGTGGACATGTTACCAAGTGATGCCGAAGGCCAAGGTCAAATACCATGTCTATCTGTCCATACATCTATCTATCTATCTGTCTATATAACTATCTATCTATCTATTCTGACGTCTATTATCGTATCAAGCCAATCCATCTAAACTTATTATACCTTACTTCCCAAGCTCTCATCTTCTCTTAATACTAAATTTTTCCTTTAACCTTCTCCATTTTCTCTTAATCCTATCTTTCCCTTAACCTTCTCCATTTTATTTTAATTCTATCTTTCCCAAAACCTTCTCCATTTTCTCTTAATCCTGTCTTCTTTCCCTTAACCTTTTCCATTTTCTCTTAATCCTGTCTTCTTTCCCTTAACCTTCTCCATTTTCTCTTAATCCTGTCTTCTTTCCCTTAACCTTCTCCATTTTCTCTTAATCCCACCTTTTCCATATCCTTCTCTATCTTCTCTTAATTCTAAGTTTTCTCTTAATTCTACTTTTCCCTTTACCTTCTAAATTTTCTTTTAATCTTATCTTTTCCCTTTACTCTCTCAATTTTCTTTTAATCTTATCTTTTCCCTTTACCTTCTCAATTTTCTCTTAATTCCTCCAGCTTCTCCTTTTCCTTAATTCTCCTTCTTTTGCCTATTTTTATTTTCTCCAGCTACTTCTGAATTTTCTTTTTTCCTCCTTCAACCTTTATTTTTCTCCATTTTCACCCTAATTTTCTAATTTCTACTGTTATTTCCAATCTTTACTTGTTATCTAAACTTCTTGATTGCTGATTGATTGCCATGTTGTAAAACTATTATCTAAGAATCAGTAAAATAGAAAATCCAGGCCAAATCAATCCTAGTGAGATAATTTTACGATAATAGTTGTTAGGAAATTATAAATTCTACTTATTTGACACACAAAGTTGTAAAACATTTTTTTTGTATTGAAAAAAATTGTTACGAATCATAAAATGATTCTTGTGCAATATTTTTGGTTTATTTTATAGAAGTCTTGGTTCTCTACATCTGAATCTTTAAAGCAAACGGATATAACAGTTAAGAAATGTTTGACAGTCGCACAAAATGAAAATTGTTGTCGAATTTTTGTTGAGTTTACGGGGACAACATGTAGA